ATTACCATAGTGTGCTACAGATACAATATATATATATATATACAAAATATATGAATGAAAATAGGACATGACGCCCACATGAAAATATGAAACAAATACCTCGTTGGCCGCTTGTCGTGAAAGGAGATTATTTGATTCTTTTAAGTTTCCTTTCTGAGTAACTTTATGTCACAATGATAACTTTATGTCACAGACTGCAGCAGAGCTTCGATAAAGACATCAACCCACGTTGAGTTGCCCAGTGCATCAACAAAACATGCAGTACCAGTGCATGAACAAACATTAGTTCCTATTTATTGAATTTAACTATGAAATGAATTGTGTTATTCTTTTTAAATAAGGCAACTTTATTACTTCATTTACAAACTGTTTTTTATATATAGGTTACTTATTATGCAATAGTTTTAATGATCCAGCTCACTTCTTTATTAATTAAAGACATTTCATACACACCTGCAGTGAGTGGTAGTAAAAACAAGTGACATAAGAGACACCACTTTGAATGTCATGGAGCCAATAAATCGCCCCTATCAGTTGTTATCAGTTCCATTACAATGTGTAAAAAGACTGCACTTACCAGTTGTAAACATGTCATTGACTATGGCATTGTTAATTGAAACAAAACTACTCGGTAAGGTTAAGGAAAATATTATGTTTGGGTTAAAATAAGTATCTATGTTATATATATGAATATAGGTAAGATATAGGTATGCTAGGTAAGTTAATGTAATAAGCTAGCTCTTAATTGTTACATAATAAACAGTTCACCAAATATGAAGAAGGCTAAACATATTGTAGTGGATATAAATAAAGGAAAACAATATGAAACCTTGCATCTAACTTTATTCAGTATCTTCAATTTCATGCAACAGTGTCCAGGGTTCATTGACAGGAGAAACAGAAACACAGAGGAGTTGACATGAACTTGTATAAGTCTCCAGTATTCCAAGAGATTCCTAATCACTCCAAGCAGATAAAAGCACAGCGTGAAATAGATGATATCCTTCATTAGCATTCCATGCTACGGCTCTGCTATTTTAACTGCTTTGTTTAGCCTGGGATGTATGTATCTGTATCCCTTGGATTAACTCAAACTGCCAATCAATCAACACTTCCGTCCCTGGAGAGTTCCTTTACTCAAGGCAAAGCATGTTGGTGAAACATGGCAGGAAGCAGGATAAAAACACTTAATGTTCACGTTTCCCTGAGAGTGGAGCCCTCTCCCTCTCCCCATGTCTCAGTCTAATTATCTGGGATCTGCAAGCTGCCATTTGGTGGTATTGATTTGTACTACCTGTTACACACAGCAGGCTCTGGCCCCTCAGGATGATGTCTACGGAGTGTTTGCCCACACCATGTAGTGATTATCGGCTGGCCAACTTTGTTGTTCAGGATATGAATAAGTGTCTACACGAGGGGTAAGCCATTATCTTCCATGATGTGTCTCTCTTGAGGATGTGTGTGTGAGCGAAGGAGCATCAGAGAGATAAATAAAGAGAGGGATAGAGTATAAAGAGCAGCGAAGCACATCAATTCAACATCAGGTTATTTTCAAAGGGTTTATGTGTTAGGAACAGACGTGAAGAGGCAAAGAGAGGAATTAAGATGTAATGTAGCACGTAATGCAGCCATATGTTGCCGTTAACCTTGGGGGAGAGGCAATATCAGAGGAACACATGTGTTTAGATTCTGAAACTGTAGGAGACGTCTCCAAGGAGTCATCGGTCTCCTTACTGTATGTCAACTTAAGATGTACACGCAATGAGCATGCTAACATAGTCACAACATCCTTATTAATGAATCATCATTAAATATTACTTTTTATTCCATGATCTGTGTTTGCATGTATCATGTTCTACACTGTTTTTAAAGCAGGGAAGACCATCGTCCCCATAAAGAAAGAAAAACAATAATATGTTATAAATATATATATTTTTTTAAATAACTCATGGTGGGTCAATATTCATAACATTACAAATAATGTATTTAACAACTATAAATGATGTTATATACTGTCTATATATATTGATTTATATTATATTATTGTCTTGTTATTTAGTGCAAACTTAGTTTAAAGGGGACCTATCATGCAAAATGCACTTTTGTACGTCTTTTATACACGGATATGTGTCCCCGGTGTGTCAGGGAACTCACCAAGTGTCAGAAAACACAACCCTCTCTCTTTTCCTCCGTACCCAAATCTCTAAAAACGGGGCTGCAACTGAGCTGATTATTATTTGAATTTTTCTGACGTCAGAAAAGGGGTCCTCCGCCTATAGAGAGGCGAAGTCCCTCCCCTTCCGGGAGCCTCCATGGGACCCCGGAAGCGGAAAATTATACATTGAAGTCAATGGAGAGCGAAAAGTTATCTTTTGATCCCGTTTGAATTGTGCCACGAATGACACATATGATGTTTGTCAATCTTAAACAATCATTTCCATGTAAAAAAGTCACAGTTTGTCTTAAAACTGTTGAAATATAAGACTATGAAAAATCGGAACTAGAAAGACTACAAATCCCAAATGCATTCTGGGTGATGTCATAGGCGATAATGCTCCAAGACTGGTTGCGACCAGGTTGCGACTCGCAAAGCAAAGAAGAAGAAGATCTCGCAATTAAAGCAAAGAAGAAGAAGAAGACTGATTTATTCCCTCCAATAAATATAAGAGATTGCTCCAATAAATTCACTTTTACAAGATGGCTGTGTGCTTTGTACCAGGTTGTAATCACAAAAGTGATCATACCACTTGCTCGTTCTATCGTTTCCCGTCTTATGAAAGGACCAGGAGTCGTTGGACCAAACATATCAGGTAATATACAGGACTGTCTCAGAAAATTAGAATATTGTGATAAAGTTCTTTATTTTCTGTAATGCAATTAAAAAAACAAAAATGTCATACATTCTGGATTCATTACAAATCAACTGAAATATTGCAAGCCTTTTATTATTTTAATATTGCTGATTATGGCATACAGCT